ACGTAGTTGGTTTTCTAAACATACAACCATCAAATTTACATCACTAGATACTCATTCATGCATTTAATACATAAATAATTAATCATATGTGGTTTTAAAATGGATTCCTTGATTGCCTACTGAAACATGGTTTTGGCCACTACTACCACGGATTTTGATGTAGGAGTGTACCATTTTCCAGGCTACATCATTTTACACTATTGCTTCATACTCCCTTTGGTCCCATTCAAGTATCTCTCCAGACAAATTTGGTAAGATTTCATGTCTATAACTTTTATTGTTCATAGGCTGCTTTAATTTCTTAGTTTAGTTAAGAATGTTATTGAGTATTTGTTAAAGTGTAGGCTGTTGTTTTTTTAATACAAAAACTTTCTTTTAATAAATTGATGTTTTATATTTTTCCTTTTAATTTTAAGCGAACAAGAACAAGAACATGCTTGCTTTTGTAAGGATTTTAAAGAAACTTGAAAAAGAGGGGTGGTAAAGGGTATGTCTTTTTACATCTAAAGCATTTGTTATGTTGTGTCATTAGGACTTTAACTTTAACATGATTCATGGATACCAATAAGGCAAAGTGTAATCATATTAAGGCCACGAACTACACCTTTATTACTATTGAAGTACATTCTTTGTGTGGGAGAGACGCCTGAATCATGAGCTACAATGAAAATACTTGCTGCGCTAACAAGTTGCAATATGTGGTACATATCTGATTCTTACAATGCATTCGAATTTGAAAATATCATTATAGAGCAGTGACTAATTCTGTACTTGGACTCTACTAAAGTTTGACTTTGTAATTTATTCAAGTTACAACACCTACTTTTTGAGCATTCTTTAAGTTTTCTTTCCATAAAAGGTATTAAATTGGTCCAACATTCTTTATTTAAGCATACGAACCTGATTGGGTTATCAGTAGTAGAAAGGTGGCCACACCCACTCAAATTCAAGAGGTATCATGAAAACCGTCATTAGATACTCCTCTCTTATCAAGATTCTAGGTTTGACATGCCATGTTTTTTCATATCTAGAGACTAGAGTATATTATTTTGCTTCTTGACTTTCAAATTTGGCTTTATGGTGATCCAGATCAGACCTAATAAGCCCTATATTCCTACACAGTACTAGGCTATTGGACAAATTGACAAAAGAAACTTAATACTACCTGATTCTCAATATCAATTGCTCTCTGATTATCATTGGCAATGATATGTAGGAACAAATTGGTGGGATCCTGTTGGATAAGTTTATAAAAAAATCACATTCTTTTTGTAATAGAACTAAAGTTTCAAGAGAATTCAATTTTTGTTATCTTCAATTAAATCATGTATTCTGATACTTAAGCTGCAAGGTGTGGTTATGGTGCACCAGAACTTGAACTGGGTAGCTATACTTATCAGAGTGATATTTACAGCTTTGGAGTAGTTCTACTAGAGCTACTTACAGGGAGGAAATCGTATGACAGGTAGCATTCATTTGAGCATGGATTCTATTAAATTAACATCTATGCCAAATAAGAAGTGCTTGTGAGTTGTGAGTACACCAAGTGTTAACAAGGCAATTAACAAGCAATCTATAAACTCAAATTCCAATTTCCATGTCACGATCTCCAGGCGAACAGGTTCTGGTTAGATGGGCAGTCTTGAAGCTTCATGATATAGATGCATTATCTAGAATGGTTTATTTAAATTAGCTGGGACATTATCTAGATACAAATTGCTATTCTAATACATCAATTTCCAATTGTTAATTGCTATTCTAATACATCACATTCCCATTCTTAATGGCCAGATAAACTGACGGTAACAATTAACTCTTCAACATTAGCATATGTCCACAAATTGCCACATTCATTATCCAGTAGTCTTCTTCTACATCAGGTGTGTTCAAATGATTTTTCCAATTTTTGAAATTACTTATCCCATGTTTTTGTGTTTTTTTTTAAAATTGAATATGACAGCAATTAGGAAGTTTTTGAATTTTGATCATTTATGTGTTATTTAGAAAAGTTTATTTTATTAGTTAAAGAACCGCAAGTGGTCTCAAAGTCAATTGCTAGTTTCACACCATATGGTGGCTGTTCAGAGGAGGGAGTCGAGCAAAATATATGATGATGATCCATGATGGAGCAAAACAAAAGTAGCTTAAGGTGCTTGAATTTAATTCCCCATATTTTCTCCTAATTTCTCATTGCCATTTCTCTCTATTGTTTCTGTCACCTATAATAAGATTTAATTTAATTATTAAGAAAGGTGTATATTACACTAAATCTACCTCTTTTGTATTCTTTCATGATGAGTGATGTGAATTAATCCATCTGACATTATTTAAGTCTATTATTGATAAATTTCTTGGTTCTTATTATATACTCCGTACAATTTAAACCTTATAAATTTCCTGGTTTTTATAAGCCAAATGAATGCTAAATGCTTTATGTTGTAATCTTTTAGAAAGAAATTCAGAGACAAAAGTATCATTTATTTGATTCACTTTTCTTTATTTCTGGCCCAAAAGGAAGGTGACATTGGATTAATTATTTTGGCTTAAGTACGAGGGGAGTGTCACTGTTTTTGTTATTTAAAGGTGTTGAGTCAAAAATTACATGCTATGGAGAACATCTGAATTATTTAATTATGTAAGTTGGGTTGAAAGTTGCTCATAGGATGTGTGTAAATGTGTGGTTTAGATTTTTATGACTGTTTCTAATTACCACCATTTCATTTTTTTTAATAAAATCTACTTTGGGGCCATTTCTTCTTTGGTTAAATCTGACATATACATTAGGATGGTGATTTTAAGGGTGAGGGGCCCTCCATCATTGTAAACCTAATTGGACATAGATATGTGTTTCACATTAGAAACATGCAGTACTATAAATCAGCAAACAGCCCAAGCTTTACAGTAACAAAAGTATATTGGAATCTGTTTTATGAACGGAATTTAAGCATTTTGGCTTATTCCCAGTTTTTAGTTTACATCCATTGCATTTTTTGAAGTTTTTGTCCCGTTCAACGTGCAGGGTGGGTTGAGTACTATAGCTGGAGGAACCCGAGGAAATATTTACAAAACCTGTCAAAGGGAGTCCTAATAGAAAGTGATGTCACTGTAAAACTTTAAACATGTGTCTTTTAAAGGGAAATGACGTGGAGTGTTGACATATGTCAACTGAGGTGGACAGTGATGTGGAGTGTTTTTACGCTATTGGACAGGTTTCCATTTTCCCCTTGCACAAACCCCCTCAACGTGTCTGGATAATTTTGATCACCCCCTTAACCTCAACTCCACTTTGCTCTTCGCCGATCAGTTGGATGCCAACTGCCACGGTCCGTGGCTTTGATCTAGCCAAATCTCGAGTCTATACTCTATACCCTGATTTGTATTGACACCATTGTTCATTGGACTAATTGTGATGGTGCCTAGAAAGCCTTAAATTATGTGGATTTTGAATATGCAACCAATTACAGCGCGTTTTTCCTTCAGACAGTAACCACCAACCCAGCCCTTTAGTGGCAATTTGATGGTAAGTTTGTTACGTATTATATATATCTTCATACTCTTACAGTTCTTTCTGCATTACTTTTTTAGTGGAAAAAGTGGTGTTTGAGCATGCTCACTAGGTGTTTGTTAAATTTACTCCTCTGGTATGATCTTTTTTATCGACCATTGTTATCTCTTTTGTTACTACATGAAGCAATTGCTGGTTTACTACATAAAGTAGTTGTAATTCAATGAAAAAATTGTTTAGTGATGGCCATGTATCTTGCCAGGTTCTTGACAAGCTAGCAGCTCAGATAACAACCGCGGTTCAAGGCTAGCATCCTACATCAAAACTATTCGGGGAGTGTTGTTTGCTGATAAACACCCACCACCTTAGAGGTATGCTATCTCTATTGCAGTTTATGCTGATTCATGTGGTATGATGTAACTAAACCACATTTAGGGATGGAACCGCTGCTACATGAATATGAATATTCCATAAGTGAATAACAATAGAAAGAACAACCTCAGAATCTAGATGACGATTTCTCAGAACCACAATAAAAACACCTCATGGGATTAGAATCATTATTAAAAATAAGAACTTTTAAGTCTCTCAAACTTTACTGCATTCATACAAGAGTACTAATTTATACGAAGAAGTGAATNTCTCTATTGCAGTTTATGCTGATTCATGTGGTATGATGTAACTAAACCACATTTAGGGATGGAACCGCTGCTACATGAATATGAATATTCCATAAGTGAATAACAATAGAAAGAACAACCTCAGAATCTAGATGACGATTTCTCAGAACCACAATAAAAACACCTCATGGGATTAGAATCATTATTAAAAATAAGAACTTTTAAGTCTCTCAAACTTTACTGCATTCATATAAGAGTTCTAATTTATACGAAGAAGTGAATAAACTAATTTCAATATGAGATCTCAATTGTTTGAGTCGCTACCACAGTTTGTTATATACTCCCTCCGTCCTATATTGATCTTCCCACTTCCCTTTTTTTCCCATCCTAAAATCATCTTCCCACACACTTTAAATACACATGTAATGACTAAAATACCCCTAGAAGGTTAAAACCTTTATTACTCACCCACCCCATACCCAACCCACCCCTTTATCTTCATTCTTCACCGTCCATTTCTCCTGCTCAGTTTCCGTCGACTCCCCTGCGTAGCCGTTCGTCGTCCGACGGTTTCACAGCAGCACCGACGACCTCCGTCCCAGGGAAACAATCGGCGACCACCATCTCTCCCTCTCTCTTTCCACCGGTGTGCACGGGTCGGTCGAACATGGGCAGCGGCGGTTCCTCCTCCTCCAACCCGAGTTTAATTCTTCCATTTCGAGGTGATTCGTTGCTCAAATATCTATCGTTAGCGTTAATTCGTAGATTAGGATCTTGTTTGTATTAATCTTGCGATTGATTGTGAAATTGTGTGAATTGATTGTTGGGATTATTGATTTGGATGTTGAACTGGTTGGGGGTTTTGTTGGGGTTGGATTCTCGGGCGGATTCCGGTGAGTCACGGCGGCGGACCGCCAGTAGTGGCCAGGGCTGGACAGGTTCAATTTGGACCCAATTGGGTCAATTTGGGTCCAATGGTTTTTTTAAAGGGAGGGTATAATTGGAAGTCAAAGTGCAAAAATTCAATCCCTTAAAAATGAACAATAGTCAAAGTGGGAAGATCAATATAGGAAGGAGGGAGTAGTTGTTAATCTATTGGGGTGGCATTTATTTATATTTATTATTTTAATACTGCTCTGAAAAGAGAGATGAAGATCTCTTTAACTCTGGTATATATGAAAAATAAAAAAAACTGTAGTCGTAGGTTTTATATGGTTCCTCTTGCAAAAGTTATTGCGGTGTTTATTACCTCCTCTTTATTCTCAGACTACCTCCTATTTAAAGGAACATCCCTTCTGCTTTTTTGAATCCCACAAATTTAATCTTCGTTTTCAGAAATACAGGTAGTCATGGTATCTGCACAGAGTGGTTCACTGCGAAAAATGGTGAAAGATTGTATTCCTGTTGAAAATGGTAAAATATTGAATGTTTACAAATTTTTGTTTCAATTGTGTTAAAGATTTGATTTTTTCATTGTTCAATTCTTGATTCATATTGTGTTATATATTATAGATTTTTTGTCTCAAATTTGTCAAAGATTCAGTTTTCGGCATTGTTCAATTCTCTATACATGTGTTAAATTAAATTATATAATGAGGTAAACATGTATGCCGATGCATTACTTTAACTCTACACTCCATGTCCTTCCTCCTAACTATTTTTTCCAACTTTGAATTAAATGTTGGAATCACATTCTAAAATCTATAACATCAGGTTGCATTATTGTTTTGCATTTAATTTTCATAATTAATTTTTTTGCATGGTTCCTAGGGCAGATTTGATGGAGTAGTTGTTATCAGTTTAATTTTAAGAAACACCATCTATTCTCATTTTATAGAACACATTTCATCTGATACACATATCCTCATTTTATAGAACATATCCTCATCTGGTGATTTTCCACCATCTTATTAAATTAACACATATGATTTGAGTTTAACGTTTTAAGCTCCTTTCTTCTTCACATTCATAATATTTCCACATTTGAAATGTTTTTTTGAGCATCAACGGCTAATATTTATGGGCTCTATTCTTTCTAATGGCGATAGCCAAAAGGAGGGCAATGTCTCCCCATTTTATTCAGGTAAGAATCCACCTTTCCTCCAATTCTCTAGATTAATTCACATTATGTTTTCTTCTACTTTTTTGTTGCAATCCAAGATTGATGATTATCTCAAATTAAAAACTTTACCCTTTTAAAAAAGTGTTTATTATAACATCATAATTATAATGTAAAAATTCCTGCCCTATTTAGTGCCACATGTTTTAATTTACATATACTTATAAATCTCATATACTTAAGTGTAGCCTTTGAGGAATTTCTTGGATATTCACTAGCCCACAAAGGTGAAAGCATCAAGCACACAAACTGTTTGTTAATGTTCCTCACCCACAAAAAACAGCTTTTTTGACTTCTTCTTTGCCCCACATTTTCATTCAAAAAGTAATGACCAGACATGCTATATACTGCAGTCATTCACTTGATTGCTCTGATCCAAAATCCTTTAATAGTTCTTGAGGCCGAGCTCCTACCTTTAATATATTTGGAGTAATTATTTTCTCTGCTAGCTTGGTTGTATTCCTTTGAGAGTGAAATGAATGATTTCAGATGCCTATATTTGTAGGTGTGCTCTAGGTTTGATGTGTAGTTGCAAAAATCAGGATAATTTCCATCCTGTATCTTTGAAAATCAGGATAATAGTTTCAAAGCTATTTCAAAAATAGCTTTGAAAACCCTTGAACAGTGTAATAGATAATAATTGGCAAATCACATTTCTTTAATCACACGTTCTATAAAATAAAAATATTTCTTTAATTTCTGCATTAGAAATCTAAATAAATTATCATTATTTTGCAAAAAAAAGCTTTGGAAATGAGAATAGGTTTGGGTGACATGCAAGTCTGGTTGACTCGAGTTTGCTGAAGCACGATGCTATATACTGAAAAGCCATTCCACATTCATTTCGAACATCACTCTTTATTGCAGCCTGTATCAGCTGAAGATTTGCCAGTTTTCTGTAACTCTTGCAAAATAATTGGCCTAAAAAATGGTCACTCACTTTTTAACTCCTCGGATAGTGCTTCAATTGCTACGAATATCCACTCTTAGGTTGCTTCTATGAACAACTCATCAAAATATATTTATTTTTGTTTTTCATTAAAATAAATTTGTATCCATTTTCATTTGAGGTGCATGATATTTAACAGTTCATATATCTGTAAGTGTGCTTCCAATCCTAATCTTTTCATGCATGATTTTTATAGAAGACAACTTATCCTGAAATAAGATTTGAATCATTAAGAAATCAAGATTTATGGAGTTGGGTAATAGCTTCAACAACTCATCATCCTAGAAAACAAATATCAGCAGGTTTATTTTATTAAATACATATCCGAAATATCAGTTTATTTTCCTATTTTCCATGATTGCTCCCTTCTGTCTTCAACCTTCAATACGCTTCAGGTTCCTTTCCTTGGCGATAATCAAATCGGCAAAACCAGCAATTTGGTACTCCCTCCGTCCCCCTGTATTTGTCCACATTTGACTTTTGGAACTGTTCATCTAAGCACTTTGACTCATCAAATTCTCTCAATGTGTAAGCCTAAATATAGTCATGTGTGATCTTGTTTGATTTGTCTTAACATATAGATTATTAATATATAATTTCTATAATTTTTTAATATACAAATTACAAGATAAAATGGATTAAAGAAGTGCATTGGATGGTGTGTAAAAATGAAAGTAGACAAATACAGGGGGACGGAGGGAGTATAATATATAAGCAGGTCTACCATTTCAAAGTGCTCCTTTCTCCAATAATCTGTATTT